CTGATAAAGAGGAATAATTTATGGACTAACGTAAAGCGGGAGTCTAACGTAAAGGAAGGTGTCTAGGAACATGCCAAAGGTAGTTCCAGTTCAGCATCGTAGATAGTTACTTGGATGAAGATGTTAATTATATCCCGCTAATTCCCCTAAATTGGTGAAAATGGCTAATCTGTATCAAGGACTCGGAATCCAAGAAGACCTTGACTTTCTGGAACAGCAGGCTAACTAAAGGTAACAAATTTAATTGCAGCAAGTATTTGTAAAAAGTCCCAAATCAAGTGGTCAAACAAAAAATTCGGTGGGGAAAAGAAGTGTATTTGCAGAAGAATGTGCAAAAAAGATACACAATTAAACAATGTTGAATGAGTGAATAAAAAAGGGAGGGAAAGAGTAGAACAGATTTCAGGTTGATTTACTATATGATATCCAGAGAAGATAAATATATCAGAGGACAATCCTCTGTGTTCGACTCTGGGGATCATACTTTCATAAAAACAGAAGTGCATCCAAAAGAGAAAAGCCCTGGTAACAATGAGACTCTCAACCCATGGTAAACAAGCATGGGTTGAAGAAACTGATTATTATCTTAGACACTATTAAGAGTTGTTAGATGTAAAAGCATTTTGTATAATACTCTAAGGGGTAAAATTAAAGATGTAAATATTATAGAGACAAATTCGATAGCTGAATATAAGAAAAGAGTTCCTATGCTCAGAGCTGATCAAGGAAATTCCTACTGTATTCAAGATGAGTGTTGACAAATAATTTGACAAAACTGACCTTAATATCCTCTGTGAATTAAAAAGTATGGTCCTCTGCTAAGAATGAAGAGTGGAGATAATCTGGGTAGACTAGAAAACCTGGAAAAAATCCAGAATATGTACCATGGAGAATTTGATATGAAATTAAGAAAGAATAAATAACTGCATAGCACTGCTTAGTATCCTCTAAGCTGACACTGGAGTGAAGCAGTTGGTAGTTGGCCACAAGATACAGCTATGTCTCTTTGTCCAGCTAAATCAACAGCAAGGAAGGTAAAGCAAACATTCCAAGTGAAGCTGACATTGGGAAGGCAGGTTCTTGTAGGTCTAATGGCAAGAGATTTAAGGGTTGAAGCAGAGTTAAAATTGTTGGTGAAATAAATAACAGTTTACAAGCAATTCTGAAGAGGCTACAAACTATATGACAGACGAGCACATAAGGGTCTCTGTCACCAAGACCATAGCTCCATGTGGTAGCATCAAGGCATAAACAAGCCTTAATTCAAGAATGACAATGACAACAATGTTAAGCTCTTTAGACACCTACTATGCACCAAGCACTATGGATTCAACATTGGATATCGTTAAGGAGATTTGAGTTTAGTGGGAGATGCAGACATTTAAACAGGTTCTTTCAATGACATGTGACATAGCAAAAGAGGATAAATAGATAGGCTGAACCTAGAATAAAAAGTTCAGGATTAAGAAATGGGTCTGCCCCATTAGCTTCCCCCAAGAAGGTGTTCACTCTCGAAGCCACTGTCTCCTGTCGACTTCCTGCTAATTCTCAGTATGATGAGATAGAGGACTCGGTATGTGAGTTAATTAATTTGAGTTGGCCTCAATTTTATAAAAGGGAGGATTTGTTTTAATGAAACATTATTAATGGCCAGAAAGCATGCCATATAAGAGAAGTTAGAAACTACAGGCTGTGAGGCACATTCTTGTGGCAAGGAAGAGCCTGCTCCAGAGACTCTCAAGTTTTAAGACGTAGCCACTCTCTCCTACTGTGGGCTGAGGGGGAAGTCCGCTCTACAGCTCTTCCTTCACTCTTCCCAAATAACTCTGTTCATCCTCTGTAAGTCTTCGAGGCTATAGGAAGATGAAGCCTATTGGCATGAATCCAGGAAAGAAGAAAAAATACATATATAATAGGTAAGACATTTCAAAGTTCTGAAAGAAAATAAAAGGAGCAGATATGATTCAGGATAGCCAGGACATTACTTCACCCCAAGTAAATCAACTAGTAACTAAACATTGACAAAAGCTCTTCTTGTATCAAGTGAAGATGTAGACACCCAAAACAAACTATTGCAGAATAAAGGTACATGGCCAAGAGACAAAAATATTTTTAATTATTGATCCTTTAGGAAAAAAATATTTGTTTCTATAAATGTGCAGAAAAGTAATAAATAGAAATGTTTAAGAAAAGTGGCTTGGGTAAATATGTTTAATGAACCAGTGTAGAAATCAGTGCCATCAAAATGGAATCTTCTCACAGATAAAAGCCAAGCAACTTCTTAGTGAATCTGACACAGAACAAGTATTCTGAATAACAACTTCCTCCAAATTTTTTTCCCGTTAGTGGACATACTTTTTGACTTGTATTATTGAAATATTGCTTTACCTTTCCCTTTCCCGTTACTTGTAGAGATTTGTTCTGATGGCTAATTTGATGTTTATTTAGTTCTATAAAAAGGTTAATTAGAAATTATGGGGGTACACATCATGTTATTTTAAACTAACCTGTAAAGAAATAAATATTCTCCTCAGTCCACACTAATTAATTGTTAGCAAATGTAAATGCAGGATTTAATTTCCCTTGTATAGTTTCTGAAAAAATTCGAAGTCACACAATATCTCAATTTGTCAATAAAAGTGATGTTAGATACAGATTTAATTGTTTTCAATTTCATTTGAAAAATATCTATGACAAAATTCTTAAAATTCGGTCACAAAATATTTTATTGATTTATTTGTAATAGATATACTTTAATTTTAATATTATCACTTAAGTTTGTAGTGAAATATTAAAATAGCTTTTCAAAATGTCTTAAGAAAGATCCCTTAATAAGTCACAGTTGTAAGAGTTATAAGTACTAAGCATTGTGAAGTTTTCCATACTTTTTTAGTTTTTGGTATTGCCATAAATAAATAAAATATTTTTACATTTCCTTCCTCATTCTCTGAATGACAGAAAACTATTTTAATCATGTTATTTAATACTTGAAATCTAGAAGCAAGACCTTTAAGGGGCTATTTATATTTCATAAATTATGAGACATCATACCAAGTATAAATACTTTATATTTTGATTGGATTTCAAAGACAAAATATGATTTTTATTTTCTGTCATATAATAGAAAGCGATCTTACAATATAAAGTATAAATACACCTTATAAATATAAGGTCATCTATTAATTACAAATTTCTACTAAATAAACTTCAGAGACCTGTTTCCTAATACATAAAAATACATACATCTGGTCTATTTTATGTGAAATATTTAACTACTGTAACACCATTTAATTGTTCTAGAATTTTCCTTCTAGCCTATGTCTGCAGGCTGTACGTAGACAGCCTGTTGTTTTAAGAAGAAAAAATGTGGCTTACGTGTTTTTACCCCGTGGTCCTTAATTTTCTATTAGGGCACAGGTCCCTTTTGGATATTTGACTCTGTACTATCTCCCTTAAAATGCAGCCACTCTAATGTTTAAATACAATTTTAGGGACTCCACGGCCCCATTGAAGAAGATCCACAGACCCAGTTGTTTAATGGTTGAACAAAGCATAGACTGCATAGACAACTTACACTGAAGGAATAATAAAGCTTATATATATAACTTTCAGACAAATCAAGTGTTGCTTATTTTGGTTACATCGTTGCTATCATAACGTGTTGATTTTTTAGCACTGTACATAATAGGACACCTGAAATTATCACTCTTAAAGAAAAAATATGTATAGCCATTTTAGGAAAAGCAACAGACCACTTCTACACTACGAACCAAAACCAAAAAAAATTACCTCAAGTGCTTCAACGCTTACCTATATGTAACAGGAAAGTTTGATGTTCCTACAAAGACAGTCCTAGTAAGTGGCAGAGATGTAATGAAATCAAATCAATAATTCATTAAATAGGCATTTAGTGAAATCACCATAGGAGGACTGATCCTAAAATATCACTATTGATACGTTGTAAATGAAGTTCAAATGACATTAAAAAAAAATCTATTCTATTTAGAACTCAGCACTGCTTCCATAGGTTGAAAATCAAGTGCCTTCAACCAGTCATCGTTAAGTGAGCTGTACCATCTTCTGGCTTACTTCAGAAGATGTAAACTGTTTATGGAGTGCAAAATGAAAGAATAACCATGTGAAAATCAGTGAGCAAAGAAAGACGCCCGAAATCCATAGCCTGAAATCACATGACCACATTGCAACGCAGCCCCTCACACCATTGTCACTGTCAGGCAGCTGGGGCGACAGGGTGCAGATAGGCGCGGAGACCGCGGTGGCCCCCTCCTCACGGTTTCTCCAAGAGCTGCAGTCCTAACGAAAACAGAAATGGGACTGCCAAGCAGTAAATCATTGTGTCTCTTTCGCACACACGCGCACACCTCAGGGAGCTGCTGGGCAGCCGCTGGAAGTTAGCCGGCTGCCTTCTCTGGGCAGCCCGGCGATCGCAGCGTTTGCTGTGGAGGAGGACGCACCTCTTACCCACGCCGCAGCCGGCCGGGTGAAGTTGCCCTGAAGCCTGCCGCCGCCTCCAGCCCTGCTGCCTCCGGGGTCCAGGCATCCCCCTGCTGCGCCCGCTCGCTTGCCTGCCGGCGCGCTGGAGGCCGCAGTGCTACATGGGGCTGGCGGGCTCTGCGGCCCGGGCGCCCTGGCCGTGGGAGAGCAGCGGCCCCAGCGCGCCCCGCGCGTTCTCACGGCCCGGCCCCGAGCGCAGCAGCCGGCGCGGCGCTGCCCGGCGCCCACCCCCGTCAGTGCTCCTCCTTCGGGCGCCGCGGGTCCCGAAGGGCCCCAGGCCCTGGGCCGGCCCCCCGGGCGTCGTCTCCTTTCCTCTCGCTCCTCCCCAGCGTGGGAACCCGGCCCTGGCTCCCCAGGGCTGGGCAGCTGGGAGCGTACGGAAGGTTTCTCAGGAGAGGAAGGAGACCCAGCCCAAGCCGGGGTCCCGGAAGAGGGACCGCCTGTCTGAAGAGCCCCGACCGCGTGGGGATGCAGAGACCACTTACTCGGTGGCTTCGCACACCTCGGGGCTGTGCTTGCGGATCTCTAGCAGCTCCAGGGTGCCCCTCGCAAATCCGCACTGCGAAGGGAGAAAGAGAGCGGGCGTCAGGGGTGGCAGGCGGTGAGCGGGAGAGGGGACCCTGCAGTGGCACCTGTGGGTCCCCGCGCGAGTGCACCCTGGGCACTCGCGGCAGCGGCACTTACGCTTGGGTCGCTCGTGTCTACCTGCTCAACAGGCTGGGCGGGACGCTGCGTGCCTCGGAAACTGTATCGCCCGCGTCGCTCCCAGACAGTCCTCCTTGCCTTTGTCTCTCTGTGTCTATCTGTGTCTCCCTCTTTGATCACCCCAAAGGAACCCTTGCAGTTCCTTTCCATAAGCCATTCGATTTTTTCAAACCTCTCCCCGCCTCCTCCCCTTCTCTGCACCGAAAGACTGAAAAAGAAAGTAGCAGCGAAAACGCACCATGGTGAGATCACGCAGGGCTGGGGTCCCTAGGCTCCTCCAGGCGTTCCCTCCCCCACAGGTGTCCTCCGCCTGGGTTTGTTCCAGACTGCTCGCTGCTCTAGCGCAGGAAAAGTGTAGGAAAACTCTGCACTGAAACCTGCTTCTGGAAAACTGACTCTGCGCTGAGTCCCACCCACCAGGCTCAGACTAGGGCAGGGGAACTGAGTCCTGGTCTGTGCAGCCGCCCAATCGCCATACCAGCAATTACTGTGTGGAGACAGAGAGCTGGGGCGGGGGACCAAAATAAAAAAAAAAAGAGAGAAAGGCAAAAATTGAAGGGGACTCCAGGAAAATTTGGCCCACTTAAAAAGAAAAACAAAAACATGTCTTCTCCACTATGCACTGGTCCAGAGAAACTGTAGTTTTCCACAGTTAAAAACTCCAACATTTCTGCTGGGAAGTTGACATCTGTGCTGATGACATTCTTGTCCTGGTTTTCAGATTTGAAGCCAATCTACTCATTTGCAGATGCAATTTTATGGTTACAGAGATTTTACATATTTTCAGTAAGGTCTGGCTTCTGCCTGGTTCAATGCATTTAGTTCTATTTGTTACCGATGTGTGTGTTGTGATACTATGCTTTTAGTCACGTTTCTGACTTAAAAAAATCCCATCATGCTGTTCCATTGTGAAGTAACAATTAATTATGATCTTTATGTGATCCCTTTTCAATTCAGTTCAATTCATGGTTATCTTCCTCTTTTATATCTTCCCCAAATACACCATCTAATCTGGTCCCATTTTAAGCTCATCACATTTGCAGACTTTCTCCCGGTCTTGCATACTGTGATTGCCTCATAGTGAACATTAATCAGAATCAGGAAAAAAATACATTTAAATAAGTCAGGAACAGTTAAGAAAGTCAGCAATGTAAGCACAGGTAGCCACAGAAACTTTTGCCTTCCTGCCATCTCAGAAACTTCTCTTCCTCTACATTTAACCCATGATACTCTCTTAGATCAGCAGGACATTTGTACTAAGAATATTTAGAACTTCAGATGTAGAAGAAAACTTTAAAAAAATACACAGTAATTCATTAGTAAAAGGAAGAGGGAAGTCATACTATTTTTAAGTAGATTAAATGCTACAAACATTCAGAAGAAAATGAGATAGTGTCTGACAGCGTTCATAAAGGAACAGTATTAGAGATAGGACTTGAAGGATTGGTCATATTTGAAAAAAGATAAAATAGAGGACGTTTTTGTTGTTTTTGCTTTTTTCTGACAGAGGGAAACTTGTGAGCAAACATATAGAGATTGGAAAGGCATGGCACTTTTATTCAAGAAACAAGGAGTAATACCATCTGGTAAAAATAAAAAGTACATAAAGAAAAGTGTAGGAAGATATGGTGGAAAGATAGGCCGGTTCAGATGCCTGATCCACAGTTGTCATGTGTTGCAGGCTTGTATAAAGACTTTGTTGTTGCTGTTGTCTTCCCCTACTGATACCATTACCAATATTCCTTTCATTCTGGAACATGATTTGTTTAACCCATTAATTTCTACTTTTACCATTCTCAAGTTTTATAGCACACCAAAGTCCTTGATTAGTATTGCATTTAACCCCAGTACATTCTGCCAAGAGCTACTGACTTTTACCAAGGGTAGACCCTCCACTGGAGAATATCTTGTCTTCTTCCTCCTTTGTCCTTTCTGACTGTCAGACAATGGGTAAGAAGAGGAAGCAACCAATCTAAGCATAAGGGTGGCTAGAACCACCAAAAGGTGACGGCAAAAGACATTCTGTAATCTGGATGTTTGATATGCTCTAAAAAAGTAACAAGAGTTCCTTGATGTTAGGGAAGTACTAATCTTCACAGCCTAATTTCCTAGCAATGAACTTGGTTCATAACGGGATTCACTAAAATGCCTGCTGAGTGGATAAATGAATACCTGAATATTTTATCATCTTCCAGCTCTAGTCTTCTTTCTTATAGTTGACTTATGGGTTAAAACTTTTCTCCACTTTATTGAGAATAAGAAAGTTGTCATGACAACTTAATAAAAATGTTAACAAGGAAAATTATTCAGTGTAAAGTAATCTCCCTAGCCATGTTAGTGCTGGCAGAAAAGCTCAAGATATTTTTATTTCCTCTCAAGATGCTTTGTTTTTCTTGTACCTACAACCCACAATTGACAACAGTACGAGAGCATTTAAATGTAGGTTACTTTCACACTTGCAAATGAAATGACAATGGCAACTAGAGATAGTATCTAAATCCTTGCTACTCAGATTATGGTTTCTATGTTAGCAGTGTACCATAACCTACAATCTTGTTGGAAGTACAGAAGTTCAGGCCCCTCTCCAAACCAACTGAATCAGAATATCCATTTAACAGAATCCTCAAGTGATTCCTATGCACATTAAAGTTTGAAAAGCACTGATCTACTATCAAGGCATTAAGTATGATAAGCCTCAAAACACACTGTATGAATCTTTCTAAATTCAGGGATTTTTTAGAACCCGCATCTTTATTTTTCTGGGTTACTATTGCCATGTCAGTTCAAATAAAGTAATGGGACTAATGGTTTCTTCTCTACTGACTTTGTGGACCATAATAAATTCATAAACCAAGGGGAATTAAGAAAGAGATAGAGAACAGAAAAAGAGTAGAAATGAGAGAAGTGTTACATATATGTCAGGGGCAGAGCTTTGTTTTATTTTTAGCAAACAAACTATGGATTGTATTGTTTACCAAATTAGGATAACCTCTCAAGTATAAGAAAAATAAGATAAACTTCTGGCTCCTTATTTCCTCCTTTCCTTAGTATTATTCATTTTAAATTTGTTTTAACGTACCTGGTGAGATAAAGTTTACACTGGTAACTTGCAGTAAGATGATGCAAAGACTCCAAAACGTCTCTTTTGTATGAATGTAAAGCTTTAGTTAGAAAAACTAGATCTTATTAGGTTGGAGTCCACACATTTCTAGTCCTGGTACAGACATTCACGAAGCAGCCTGGACTAGAAGAGATTCTGATGGTAACAGAAATGTTGTCCACTATATTTTTGCCAAGGAATTGGTGTTTGTGAGCAGTAAATACAGTGGTAGGTAGAATAATGGCATTCCAAAGATGTCTACCTGCTAATCCTTAGAACCTGTCAATATGCAATTTTACATGGCAAGAGATAAGTGAGGATGCAGATAGAATTAGGGTTACTAATCAGCTAGTCTTGGGATGGGAATATTATTCCAGATTAGGTGGGTGAACCCATTGCAATCAAAGGGGTCCTTGTAAAAGAAAGATTAAAACAATAGAGTCAGAGTGATGCTATGTTAGAAAGACTTGATCAGCAATCTCTGGCTTTGAAAATAGAAAGGGGGCCAGGTGCAGTGGCTCATGCCTGTAATCCCAGCACTTTGGGAGGCCGATGCAGGTGGATCACCTGAGATCAGGAGTTCGAGACCAGCCTGACCAACATGGTGAAACCCCATCACTGCTAAAAATACAAAAAATTAGCTGGACATGGTGGCAGGTGCCTAAAATCCCAACTACTCAGGAGGCTGGGGCAGGAGAATCACTTGAACCTGGAAGGCGGAGGTTGCAGTGAGCTGAGATCACACCATTGTACTATAGCCTGGGTGACAAGAGTGAGACTGTCTCAAAAAAAAAAAAAAAAAAAAAGGAAGCAAAAAAGAAAGAAAACAGAAAAGGGCTTAGCCAAGGAATGTGTGCAGCCTTTAGAAGATGAATAAAGCTAGAAAATTATCCTCTCTTAGAGTCTCTGGAACAGAAAATAGCCCTGCCATCACGTAGGTTTTAGTCTAATGAGACTCATTTCAAACTTCAGACTTCCACAAATGTATGATAATAAATGTGTGTTACTTTAAGCCCTAAGTTTGGGGGTAATTCATTACAATAGTAATAGGAAACTAAATGTCAAAGTGTCTTTGGTGTTGGGCAATGACAAAGGCCGGAAGAATTGTGTGGAGCCAGCATTTTAAAAACCTAGATTGCCCTGAACACAATGTTAGTAGAAATGTGGATGTTAACTCTGCTAGTGAGGCCTCAGAAGAAAGTAAGAGGCATGGTAGAGAAAATCTGCATCATCTTAGGGAATATATAAATCATCATAAATTATCATGAACACACTGCTGATACAAATATGGACATTAAAAGTGCATTGAACAGGATACAGGTGGAAATGAGAAAAGTGTTACTGGAAATTGTAGGAAACGAGATCCTCAGTTGATATGGTTTGGCTGTGTCTGCATTCAAATCTCACTTTGAATTTTAACAATCCCCACATGTCAAGGGCAGGGCCAGGTGGAGATAATTGAATCACAGGGGCAATTTCCCCCATACTGTTCTCCTGGTAGTGAATAAGTCTCACGAGATCTAATGGTTTTATAAATGGGAGTTCCCCTGCACAAGTTGTCTTTCTTGTTGCCATGTAAGACGTGGTTTTGCTCCTCCTTTACCTTCTACCATGATCGTGAGGCCTCCCCAGCCATGTAGAACTGTGAGTCCATAAAACCTCTTTTTCTTTAAAAATGATCCAGCCTCAAGTATGTCTTTATTAGCAGGGTGAGAACAGACTAATATGTCAGTATATGGTGGCAGAAAACTTAGCCGAATTATGTCTCACAGATATGTGGAAATATTGATCTTGGATATTTAACTGAGAAGATTTTTAAGCAAAATGGTGAAGGCACAGCCTACTTTCTTCTTGCTATTTATTGTAAAATGTGAGAAAAAAGAGGAAGATTGAAGGAAGAACTGTTAAGCCAAAAGGAACCAGAACTGGGAAATTTATGTGGGAAATCCTCAACCTATTCACACTGCAAATTATGCTATGTCATCTTTTGTCATGGTAAACATGTCTTTTTACTTTGCAAGTCTGAGAGATTTTATCATTTCTCATATTTGAAAAGCCTGCTACATGTCTAGATACAAAAGACCTCTATATGTTTAACTTATGTTAAAATAATAGTTATACCGACTCTTTTAGTTACCAATAGTTAGCCCTGATATCATTTCATAGGCACTAGTGTTCCATAAATTGTATGCACTTTGAATTAAAACAAAATGGCATCCTGTAGGCCCTGACATATTTAATGCTGTTTCAAAAATACTCCATCATAGAAGTAACTTACAAATTCAATGATTTTGGAATATTGAAAAAATGTAGAGTGGTTACAGTGTCATATAAAAAAGTAAGATGAATGAATTAATGGCTACTGCAAAATA